ATGTAGAAACCCCTGGATGGCACTCTGGCGCCCCCTCCCCCTGTTCTGCACATTGGGTCCCTTTCTTCTGCTTTTATTTGTTCTGGAGAGAGCCGACCACTCAGCCCCGGCTGCCAGCAGGACCCGAAGCAGAGGTCACTTGTCTAGCTCTTTGGATGGAAGAGTTGAGATGGAAAAGTACAGCTCACTTCCCTTCAAACCTAACGGAGCTCCTGGGAGCTCTCTGAGGACAGGGAGACGCCACTGAGTATAAAAGCCCAGAGGCAATCTAAGAACTGTGGGCCTTTAGACAGTGTGACTCAGAACCACAGACTCAGAAAACTTCCTAAGGGCCTCAGGGAGTTAGGCTGGCCTTGAACTTGATCTGTAGCCAAAGATGGTCTCAAATGCCAGATCCTTCCACCTCCTCCCAAACGCTGGGATTACCGGCCTGAATCACCACACCCAGTTTGGTTGCTCTGGGGTTTTTGGTGTGAGGGGGGCTGTTTTGTTTTTTTTTGAGACAAGGTCTCACAATGTAGCCAAAGCTGGTCTCAAATTTGTGATCTTCCTGCCTCTGCTTCCTGAGTGTTGGGCGCCACCAGGCGGGGCCCCAGGGGTGCCTGAACCTTGAAATGCGGCCGGTGTGAAGGCCTTGTTGAAAAAGCCTGCTCCAGAACGGCCCAGAGCTTTCGCTGGATCATGTGACTATGTCCGTGCATGCAATTATAAACAAACAAAAATGGGGATTTGGAGAGGGGGAGTTCAGTTGGTAAGTGTTTGCTATGGCAAGCATGAAGACCTGAGTTCAGATCCCTGCATTCATGTAAAATCTGGGCATGGCAGCACATGCCTGTAACCCCAGCACTAGGGAGAGGCAGAAACAGGAGGAATCTGGGGGCTTGCTGACCAGCCAGGCCAGCTGAATCAGTAAGATACAGGCCAGTGTGAGACCCTGTCTCAAAAACAAAGTGGACAGAACTGAGAAACAACAGCTAAGGCTGACCTCTGGCTTCTACAAGCACAAGCACATACACACAAGTGCACACATACACATCTACACGGTGGGGGGGGATAGGAGTGGAATCGGAGTCTGAGGGCACTGTATACTCCAACCCCCTAAGCCACCTTGAAATAGTTTAGGTTCCCCTAGAAACAGCCAGGCAAGGAAGCCCCTAAGGTCTTTGTCTGTTCTGAACTCCTGAGTTAGCTCAGCAGATTTTGGAATGCTGCTTTTCCTCACTTGCACCAGATTCCTTGTTTTTATGTCTATTTCTTGTTAGATGGGAAGAAGTTATGGGAAGCAGTTAGGGTATTACAGATGTTAAAACCTAGAATTGGTTCTGGCAGCTCAGAGGAGGCTCCAGAGTTTGTGGCTGGACACAGCCCTGCTGAAATTCCACAGAGTCTCCTAAAATGCCACGTTTCACTTTGTCTAGACCAGGCTGGAGGAATTCCTGCTGCCTCTGCACCCTCCAGACCATGTGACTGGGTCCTGCTGGCAGCCCAGGCCGAGTTTTCAATTCTCTCCAGAACAAATAAAGGCAAAAGGAAGGGACTCAATGTACAGCCATCTCTGTTGCATCAGGGGTAACCACATCAAAGTATCTAAGATGTAACATCTGGAAAGGACTAAGGGATTCTAAAGGCAGCAGATAAGTGGCATACCAATCTCCCCATACTCCTCCTGTGTACGTGGCAGACATTACTAATCAATCATACAATCTTTTGCCCTCCAAGTCTGGAGTGGCATGAGAATTTTGATAGCCACTACTAGTAGCTTGCCACCGTGGGCCACGTGACAGTTCTTTATCATGCCTCTACTTTTAGACTCATGGCTTAGAGAGAGAAAATATCTCATTCAAATTCCTAGGGCAAGGTGGCTTCTGAGGCAAAAATTTGGAAATATCTAAACTTTTTGTGATTGTTTTGTTCCACTGATGTCTGAGATCCTAGTGCCACAAGTAGGACAAATGATCCAAAGAGATCCTTTAACCCAGGATTTTATGTCCAGTGTCTGAAAGGACCAAGTGACTATCTCTGTTCATAGCTTCCCTAGTAGATATCTCTGGCCTGGCAGGCGAAAGCAGAGTTGATTTGCTGCCCAACACATCTCTGGCCAAGGCGGTGGCTGTTCTTTAAAAATGCTTCTGTTAAGTCACCATTCCCTGGCCCTGGTCCTGACCCTATGCAATCCAGATGTCCCTAGAGTCACAGGAGAGGCCAAGGGAGCCGGGATCCACACACTACACTATAGGGGAAAGGTAGCTTTCTTGATCCCCAGGGATGGCTGGAAGCTGGTGCCAGCCTCCCCTTCTAAGTTAAAGGCTAAGTAGAGGCCAGTGGAAGCAACTAAGAAACCACTTATAAGCCACATTTGCTGGGCCTTGGACCTAATGACCAAGTCACTTGGGCCAGAGCAGGCCACCGTAGAACAACGAAAGGAGGGAGGAATTGCTCTTAATTATGTATTATGCATGATTTAGGGTCTACAGAGCACGGTTAGCTCCAAACTGACCAGAACCTGACAAGGTTCCAAAGAACTGGAGGCTGGACTCAGTCACCAACCTGTTGTATAACCTCAAGTGAGTTACTTTCCCTTTCTGTGTTTCAACTTTTGTATCTTAGAAATAAAGGGGGCACTTGTGTGCCCCCCTCTGTGTGTGTGTGTCTGTGTGAGGGGGGAGAGGGGAGAAGGGAGAGAGAGAGGGGGTGTCTTTTTCATGACTGACAGTCCATTTGACAGCATGTGCCTTTGCATCCTTGACGGTGTGTCTGTAATAAGTGACAAATGGCCTGACTTGGCAGCTGCTGACAGGTGAGGATCAGGGTTTTCATACTCACAAGATATACCTTGGGAGGGGCATGGTGGCTAGAGAACTGACTCGGCCATTACAAACACTTACTGCTCTGTGGAAGACCCGCGTTCAGTTCCCAGCACCCGTATCAGGCAGCTCACAGCCACTTCTAACTCTAGATCTGGGGATTTAGGTCCTTCCTCCTGGCCTCTGAAGGCACCCACGGGCACTGTGCTTACATACACACATTATGTGAATGTATGGCCACACATTTATTCATATAAATAAAAATAAGTATTTTCTTAAAGATGTACTTAGAGAATCTCTCTCCCTGTGTGGTTGGTGTATGTGTGTGAGAGTGTACATGAGTGTGTGTGTGTGTGTGTGTGTGTGTGTGTGTGTAAGTGAGAATATCACTCAGGGAGAAGAATGTGAGGATATGACTGCATTCTGCACTTATTTTTAGCCATTAAAGTCAGTATCTACATATTTAAACTCTGTGCCCCATGTGTTTACCTGTTTATCTCCCCAGACTCATCTGCCAGCCCAAAAGGCCTCGACAGGCAAGCATTCTTTGCCTCACAGCCTCTGCTATTTAAAGCTTTTTTTTTTTTTTTTTTTTTTTTTTGGTTCTTCAAGACAGGGCTTCTCATGTAGCTCTGGCTGTCCTGGAACTTGCTCTGTAGACCAGGCTGGCCTCAAAACTTAGATATCCACCTGCCTCTGCCTCCAGTGTGCTGGGATTAAAGGTATGCGCCACCAACACCTGACTGAAGCCTATTTTCAGCATGGAAAGCTGCAGCTGGAACTGGAAAGCCCAACTATGCACTGGGCTGCAGAGCCCACAGCTGGATGAGGATCTGTACAAAGCGGGTTCCACCCGAGCCTTCTTTCTTGTTCCTCTCCTAAGACAAGAAAGGAGGCTGCTATTAAACATGCAGGGTGCTGCTCCTCCCAAGGCATTCAGGGCCTGGGACTGGGTTCAGGGGATATGGAGCGCAGATCCTCCCAGCCTGACAGATTGGGAAACTGCGGCTAAGTAGCATCTTTCCCAATGTCACATTGGATTGTAACCCATGCTTCTGGTCAATGCCCACCTTTTCTTTTCTTCTCTTTTCTCTTCTTCTCTACCTTCCTTCCTTCCTTCCTTTCTTTCCTGTATGCAACGTGTGTGTGTGTGTGTGTGTGTGTGTGTGTGTGTGTGTGTGTGTGTGTGTAGAACTCACTTATATAGACCAGGCTGGCCACTACCTCACAGAGATCCTGCCTCTATCTCTTAGTGCTGAGATTAAACGCTTGTGCCACCATGCCCACCTACTTTATTTTTTTGAGTCAGGGTCTCTCACAGACTGGCCAGTGAGCTCTAGGAATCTGCTTGTCTCCACCTCCCCAGTGTTGGGATTACAGACAGGCATCCACCACATCTGGCTCCCCATGTGGGGGCTGAGGATCAACACGCAGGCCCTCAGGCTTACCCAGCAAGCACTTCAGACTTAGTCCTGGTCCCAGCCCAAATCGCCAGACTTTCTGTAGTGGAGGGCTCACTGATCTTTTGACAAGACAACCCCAAATTGAAATGAATTTAAACAATGTATTTTTAAATATTCCTATCAGCACTATTACTAAGACGTCGCTGGACCACAAATGTTGGAGTTGCCAGAAGAAACGGGGCTTTGAATAATCCTATCTGTGCTAAAAGTCTATGGGCTAGGAGCGAGGGAGATATGTAAAGCGCTTCCCAGCGCGAGCTTTAGCCCCTTCCATCCAGGACTCTCTGCTAGAGACTGCGGTTACTGCCCGAAATAGGGAGGAAGCCAGAGCTCAGGAAGAAGACAAGATTAGTTCAAGGTCAAACAACACCTCTGAGCACAGATCCAACCTCCTTATCCTGCAAAGGGCCGCTCTAGAGGCGTATTACAGTCCTGGGGGCCCTGGGACGTGGGAGATGGGGACAGGGCAGGAATCTGCTGCCGTCCTTGATTTGGGGTGGGGATGGGGTGGGGTGGTGGTGGCGTGGGGGGACTGGAACCTGAAGGTCCCTGAACGTTCCCAGAGTCCCCTCCCGTCCAGTAGGCAGAGACCCTAGGGGGAAAAAAAAGGTTACCGTGGCAACTCGCATTCCTCTCCCACTGAGTCACTGGGGAGAAGAGCCTCTTAGTGGGTGGGGCTTGGAGAAAGTTTCAAAAGCTGACTCCTTCTCAGAGCCGTCCCCCTTCTCCCTTCCCTCCCACCCTCCCCCCTCCCCCCAGTGCGGCCCTGTCGATGTGGCAGCTGATGGTTGAGTTAACTCTCTCCTCCCCCAGCCACTCCTTTCTGGCTTAATCCTTGGCAAATTCAAATTTGTTTCAATTCTCTGCATCACACCCTTGCACCGTTTTGGGTGTCTGGTATCTGTCTGGGAAGATCTTGAGCCTGAAAGCTGTGGACAGGCATCATCTCTTACACACACACACACACACACACACACACACACACACACACACACACACACACCACACCACTACAGTATGCACACATTTTTCAGGAACTTCCAGAGACGCCCTGAAACTATTCAAAATCCAGTTCATAGGCTCAATTAGTGATCTGGCTTGGAAAGTCTTATGGAAATTCAGGTGCTCCAAGGACTAACCCTCTTCCTTAGGACAGGAAGGCTAAGCCCGAGAGAGATCTTCCACAAACTGCCTAAAGCCTGCCACTCCACGTAGGGTCTACATCTTACTTGACTACCTGCATGGATCATTCAAGAAACGTAACGTAGAGGACTGCCGGTGGAGACACTCTCTCCCCTGCGGGTATGCTCTCTGTCCCTGGGGAAGATGCCTGATGCTTGTTCCCTTTTAGTGAGACTTATCTCCGTCACCTTGGGTGTCCCGCACAGGAAGTAGTTCACAGACCATCTAGGAGCAGACAAGCATCCCACAGGCTGGTCCAAGTCTTGGGAGGGTTCGGCAGTGAGGTCTGAAAGGTGTCCTGGGGCCCAAACCCCGTATGTTCCCTCTTCCAATCACCTCACTCCCTAAGTCTGGATTCTATCAGTTGTTGTTTTTTTTTTTTCAGATGTCTAGGTACAGTAAAAGCGACTGTTGGTGGGTTCCTGTGATGACCAGCTCTCAGAATTAGGATGGGAACAATGGCAATCCCAGGCTGGTGGAGACAATAGCATCGCAGGCTGACTGAGCTGACTGCCGCCACTGGGTGATGTGGGGGTGGACAGAGACTCCAGGGACCTGAGCCGTCCCGGAGGGACTGATGGAAGTGAACAGCTCGCCTTTGCTATTCACAGACGGGCTTATCCTTCTTGCAACGTCCCATTTGGACAACTGAGCTCTGACCCAGAACTAGCTGTCTGCTCTTCTGGAACAGAGAGCCAGACCCAGCAGGATGCAGCCAGACTCTCCGGGTTGGCCATTGTGATGGGCAAATGAGGATCAGATTCCCAGAAAAGGAGACAACTGCCACCGAGGGGTGACAGAGGACAGAGCAGCAGCCTCTGCCACGGGAGAACATTCAGAGAGACAGTGCTCCCCCCGCAAGATCACGGCTATTTTCTACAGAGCTCCAGAAACAGCAAGTTCTCCCGTGAGTGAGCAACAGGCTTCCCGCCTGTGCCCTGAAGGGGAACCTCCTTTCAGCTTACCTCCTAGACCACCTCCACCCCCACCCCAGGCTAGTCAAGGGTGAAAGGGCAGAGGGACTAACGCAGCTTACAGAAGGACAGGGTGGTGCATACCTCGGCGCAGGATGGCAGGCAGGCAGGCAGGCGGCAGAACAGTTCTGGCGGTCTGAAGGGCTGCAGGAATGTGGCGAGGTTAAGAGACAAGCAGCAGGAAGCCACTTGGAGCTCTGGGCAGGGTCTGTCTCACCCTCCGCCTCCACCCTAAGGCCCTCCTCCTCTTCTGTCTCCTCCTTCCCCTGGCCTGCTTCCCCCTTCTCCCCAGAACCAAAGTTAACTGTCTTTTCTTTCTTCCTTCCTTGCCTTGTGGCAGGCTGTGCTACCCAGACACCCTGGCCCCCACCAGCCTCATCTGTTCTGGGGCTGCTGCCTAAATAGACATGAGGGTCAGGGCTGGAACAGCCGCAGGAGTCACCTAAGAACAGCCATGGTGTTGTTCAGAGTGAGGCCAACTGAGGCCCTAGGCCTAAAGTGTCCAAGGCATTACCCAAGAGTCTCAGAGGAACAGCTAAAACCAGCTTTGTAGCCAGCTAGTGAACTTGACTGAACCCTCCTGTGGACTTAGGCAGAGCAATTGGAGGAGTGGGGGAGTTGTGACAAAAACAAGCACAGGATTTTCCCAGTTCCAATAAAACAAGCTGCCACAGGTGACGTTGGCTGGCGGCATCATCCTTGATGATGAGTGAGGTCTTAGTCTAAAAAGTTCCCTCTAGCTCTCGTGGCACCAACCACAGATAAATGAGGCATTGGTACTTAGCTGGGAAGCTGGCCTCATCCGGCACCTGATAAACACAGAGAGCAATAATATTGATAGATCAGAAACAATAGCCAGGGTGGGTGGGGAACCCATCATTGACATTTAGGTGTTGTTTTTGGACAAGGTCTCATGTAGCCTAGGCTGATCATTTATTCACCATGTAGCTGAGGATAACTGTGAACTTATGATCTCCCTGTCTCTACTTCCTGAATGCCAGGATTACAGATGTGTACCATCATGACTAGTTTATATGGTGTTGGGGATTGAATCCAGGGATTGATGCATGCAAGCAAGCACTCAACCAATTAAGCTACATTTCCAGCTTGATTTAGATGCTGCTAAGAGAGCATTTTAATAACAAGGGCACTGACCCGTGCAGGGCAAACAGCTTCTACACACCTGACCAGAAGTGGCCCAAGAAAGCTGAATCTATCATTTCAGCGCAGTTCTTCTTCTAGGAACATGAACTCCACCATCCACGTGGCAGTTCTTGACTGAGTATGTTGTGCCTGCCTACTTCCAGAGTGGCAGCATGGATGTTGCAGGAGCTTTGGGTGTGGCTAAAAGGATGTAGCTCACGCGCAGAATCACATCCTCAGTGATGGAGATCCTAAGGCTTCTCCCAGAGGTCAGACTGGCAGAACCTTCCTGAAAGTGTAGACACTGAAGCAGCCATTAGACCTGGATAATGTGGAATTGGAGATGGCAGGGAACAGTCTAAGGATAAACTTCTACACCCCAGGGCCTCTGCCTTTTTTGCCATGTCCTCACCACACTCCTCCTGGCCTGCTTGGCCCAGCCAAAGTAGCTTGCCCTCAGCTCATCGGGTACCAAAGCCATCACTATCCCCTGTTCTTTGGTCCTCACTCTTTTCTCTTCGAGACATCTGTCCACGGGATTTTCCTGAGCCTGGACTCTATTCTAATGTCACCTCCTTAAAGAGGCCCTTCTTGACCACTCAACTGTCTCCTTGCCTCTCTCATAGGAGGATAGATACCCTTAACATAATTTCCCTTCCTTTTCATGTCTGTCACTATCTGTCATCATGTACTTCCCCTTCTCTTGACAGCAGTCCAGGAAAACAGGGGCCTCATTATTCCAGTCAGTCTGAAGGGTTTTAGTTAGCTAGTTTTTTTTAAAGACTTTATTTATTTATTTATTTATTATGTATACAGTATTCAGCCTGCATGTATGCTTGAAATCCAGAAGAGGTCACCAGATCTCATTATAGATGGTTGTGAGCCATCATCTATCGGAACCTCTGGAAGAACAGTTCAGAGGTTTTAACCTCTGAACCACCTCTCCAGCACACAAGTTTTGTTTTGTTTTTAATAAATGAATAGCCTTCCACTACTTCACCTGACAAAAACAGAAGGGAGTCTTTCTTGGAGTTCTAGCCTGGGAAAGAGATCCTCTGGGCATTTTTTTTTTTTTTTTTTACAGAGAAGAGCCATGGCTTCCTTCGGGTTCTCCAAAGTGTCTGTGAAGAATCTTAAGAAGACCTTTTGATGTATAAGGCCCCAAGTCTTCTCCTTAACCCAATAGGCAGGAGCTTCAGGCCACCAAATTTAGGGTGCCAGTAGACTCCCCAGACATCTGATTTGCCCTTAGGACAGATGTCTATTTTCATGGGATTGGTTGCTATAGCTCTAGGCATCATAGCATCTAAAATTAACTGCAGCCTTGTGTCTCAGTTTGGTAAATCCAAGCAAAAGGAACTCCACCTGGTATCAGCTTTGGGTTTCCACTTAGCCTTGGATGAAAATGTTGGAAACCTGTTTGGGACCAGGGGTTGGGATAGAGTATGTGGGAATGCTACTCAAGGCCCCTGGGAGGACAGAGAACTAGAATCTAGACTAGCCACGTGGCTCAGCAAGTCAAGTTGTTTGTCACCAAGCCTGACAACCTGAGACCCATCCCCACAGCCCACATAGTGGAAGGAAGGAATCTACTCATATGAGTTGTCCTCTACCCATCACTCACTCACCCAGTGTGGTGTGTTCACCCCATCCCAGCACACCCAACACCACTCAAATGAATAAATAAGAAATAAAAAGAGAAAGTGATAGAATTCCAGGGAGGATTTGCATTTAGCATTAAAGAATGCTGGGTCACAGGAGCCCTGCAGCAAGGATTACCCTGATCAAGACAGAATTATGGGGGCTGGGTCTCCTGCCTCACCCAGTGCTTCATGGGAAAGGAAGGAAGTATAGGAGGCCTGGTTGAGCTCCCCCTCTGCCACTAAGTCTCCATTAATGTTGCAACACCTCAAAACCCTTAATATACAAAGTAAATTTGTGCTCATTCCCAGTCTGAACTATATTTTTTTCCCATTTGTGAACTGGAATAGACGGTTGAATAACATTTCTTTTTGTGTCTGTGTGGTTTTTCCATACAGGGTTTCTTTGTATAGCTCTGTCTGTCCTGGAACTCACTCTCTAGACCAGACTGGCCTTGAACTCAGAGATCTGCCTGCCTCTGCCTCCAGAGTGCTGGAATTAAAGGAGTGTGCCACTATGGCCCGGCTTTGAATAGTATTTCTTAAACACTTATTTTGGACCAAGTTTTTTTGCATAGATTTTCTGATCACCCTTACAAAGCAGGATGTGTGTGTTGTAGAGACCAGGGAAAGGTGTCAGATTTCCCTGGACCTGGAGTTACCAGTACTTGTGAGCTTCCCAACATGGGTGCCAGGAATTAAACTTGAGTTGTTTATAAGATCAGCAAGCACTCTTAGCTACTGAGCCACCTCTCCAACCCCTGGACCTGCTTTCCATCCTGCAAAATAACAAGTTGGGACCTGGAGATCCTTGCTCCCAGCCAACACCCACTCCAGGTCCCTCCAGCCTGCTCCAGTGTGTCCCTCTATCCCACTGCCTTAGGTATGCCCCTGTGATACGACTTCCAGCTCCCATGCCCATTTTATATGATGCTGAAGATGGAAACCAGGGCTTCCTGTAAGCTAAGCAAGCATCCTGCCTGGTGAGCTACACCCCAAATCCGCTTTCCTCTGCCTTCTAAGCGCCTCACTCCCACCTCTGTTTCTACTCCCATTTCTTTGTCCCCCTTTGATCTTCCTGCCCCCATCTTGTAAAGGCCCCATGATGATGTTACTTCACCTCAAAATTCTTCATCTACAAACTTCAACCCAGCCCCATTCTCCTTGAATGGTTAGGAAACAGAGGCTTATGAGATCAATGGGACAGTGTGGATGACGAAGCCTGGGGCCTCGATATCCTAGCCCAGACTAAGCTGGTGCCAGCTTGGCCTGCTCTAGATGCAGGGGCAGGATCATGTAACAGCCTTCATGGCTGTGCCCTCTGTGTATCTGGCTCAGAGCCAAGGCTGCTGGGCTCACAAGGCCAGGCACACCAGAGACTGATTCAGCCCATTGCCTTGTTACTGCATCTTTCTTCAGTCAGATCTTTCCATTGGCCAGAAGACACAAAGATCTCATTGTCATCTAGGCCTTGGTCCCCTGGGCAGGGAGGCTACTGATCAGGGCAAGGCCAAACACAGTGGAGGATGAAATTTGACTTCAGCCTTTCCTTCCTCTCACTGTACTCCCCCAGGCAGCTGGGAACTCTCCCTCAATGCTGTGCAGTCCACAAAAGACTTTTATCTCCTGGTCTCATTGAGTGGTGCATTGATTTGATCTGTAGGTAGAGAAGCTGGGGTTCTCTAAGACTCTCTTGGCCCAGGCAGACAGAGGACAGTACAAGAGAGTGGTATCAGGGCTGGCTTTGCAGTGAGAGCTCTGGGCTAGGACCTGGGACAAGTTATTGAATTCTGTATAAGTTGAGGCAGGTTACTTAACCTCCAGCCTCAGTAAACTGTACCCCTCACTTGTTATGAAATTCTTGTGGATATTAAACGAGGTGACACAAAATGCATTTGGCTCACTGTCAGATGCTATAAGTGCTCCATACATGTTAATAATCTTCCTTTAGATTTAATTTTCAGTTATGTGCACTTGCATACAGATGCCCTTGGAGGCCAAAAGAGGGTGTTGGATCCCTTAGAGGTGGGGTTATAAGTGGTTGTAAGCCAGCTGATATAAGTATTGGAACCAAATCTGGGTCCTGCTGTAGGTCTGGACATCTGGACAAGCACTCGGGGAATGCAAGAGATTCCTAGGGGCGGAGCAGTTGATGACTTGGTAGAGTGGATGTCTAGCAGTCATAAGGCCCTTAGTGCAGCCTCCAGCACTGCATAACACTGGGCATGGTACAGCATCCCTGTCCCTCCATCACTTAGGAAGATGAAGGACAGGAGCTCAAGGTGTGAGTTACAGTTCTGTAACACTTCCATTTTCCTTCAGGGTCTGTCCCCACGCCTTTAGGGTACAGAGTCTGCCCTGACTATCTGTACTATCTCCTGCTGCTCTGGGCCTGAATGAAGTAGGTAGGTGGTAGATTGGTTCTGCCTTTCCCAATCCTGGTCTGTAATAGTCTAGCTGCTGGTCAAAGTCCAGGAACATTCGCAGGCAGCCACAAATTTTCTGAACCCCCTAGAACTCCTTTCTGAATGGAAGAGGAAAGCCGGCCAGCCCAGCCCTGACACGTGGCAGCTTTACACAGCCCTGACATGGCCCACAAACCAAACCTCTGTCAGTTTCAGTGGCTGTGTGGGAAGCCAGGAATGATGAGGACTAGTCAGGCTGAGACGTGGCAACCCAGCCCATGACTCAGCCACCTGACCCACAGGCAGCCTGGAGATTCCATGCATCTCCTGGGAATCTCAGATGCCCCAGAAGAAGGACCTAGCTCAGTCTCTACTCTGCATCCCTAGAGCGGGCTGGCCCCCAGGGGAAGGTACTGTCTGCTGACAGTGTCCTGTTGTGCCACACTTTCCATTCCTGGCTCCTGGATCTCCTCAAAGGCTCTAAGATTCCTTATTAGTGGCTTGCTTGGGGTCTATGAAGTCCTAGGGATCCAACATGGAAGCCTCCAGGGGCTGGGGGAGGGGGCAAGTTTCCAGGTTTCTACCCTATCTGCCCCCTGCTTCTACTTGAGAACTGCTGTGTCCTGACTAACAAATCAGGTTTTGTGGGGTTTTTTTGTTTTGTTTTGTTTTGTTTTTTGCCTCAGATCTCACATCTGAAAGTGATTTTCCTACTTGAAAACAAAATTTGAGGGAACTGGAGAAATGGCTCTATGGTTAGGTGTACTTGCTGCTCTTGTAGAGGACCCAAGTTTGGTTCCCAGTACCCTACATCAGGAGGCTCACAACCACCTGTAACTCTAGCTTCCAGAGACCCAAAGTTCTTTTGGTCTCTGAAGGTACCTGTATGCATGTGTGGCACACACACACACACACACACACACACACACACACACACACACACACACACACAAATCTTACTGTTATAAAAAACTGAGGCCAGGCCTGGTGGCCTCTGCCTATAAATCCCAGCAATTGAGAGGCTGAGGCAGAAGGATTGTAAGTTTGAGAACAGCCTAGTCTATGTAATGAATTCCAACCCTGTCTTCCGCAAGGTCAGATCCTTTCCTGACCAAGAAATAAACAAAAAACCCAAAACATTTCGAGTGTGCTAATGGAGATGCTGAGCCCACCGGCTCTCCATGTATATGAAAGTTCCAGAGGAGAGCAGGGACCACTCAAGACAAAACTCACTTCCTGCAAGCCTCTGGGTGCCACAGCACTCTCAATACAGGCTGAAACAGTAAACAGGAGTGTGTACTTTCAGTCCTGAAGTCCCATGTTCCCACCAAGAATCTGGTCCTTTCTCCCCTCTCAAAAGGTTTTCTCTTCAAACAAAACCCTAAACTCCCCTGGGGCCACCAGTGAGAAACTGGAGTCTACTTTCACTAAGGGAACCCTGTGTCCCAGCCCCCCACCCCACCTTCCACTGTCTTCAGAGAGAAGAGACAGCATCTAACCTGGGTACCTGGAGTTTGTTTCTATGGTTTGGACACAGGCTCTCATCTGCCTGGCCTGGAATTTGCTTCCCTGCTCAGCCTCCAGAGTGCTCCAAGTCTGGCCCTCCTCCTTATCTTTCCTCCTTCTGTCCTTCTCAACCTTGGGTTTCTGTTTGCTTCTAACTTTTTGAAAATTACATTTCTGGGGGAAGGTGCTAAAGCATGTATTTGGAGAAAGAAGGATAACTAGTGAGAGTCGGTTCTCTCCTTCCAGCATGGGGGTCCCAGGAATCCAACCCAGGTTATCAGCCTTGGCAGCCTTTACCTGCTCAGATATGCGACTGTCTTCTCAACCTTTTAAAAAGAGTACTAGATGGGAAGCTGAGAGACCCAAACTCCTTGCTAGTCAGACAAGGACATGGGCAAGTCACCTCCAACTTCCGGGCCTTAGTTTGCTCATACTGGAGACAAATGGGCGTGTCAGCCTCTCAACAGCAGGAAACAAGGGGCAATGTGGTGGCCCCAGCTCTGTCTTTCTTTTAGTGTCCCCAGTCATTTTGCTTTTTAATTGTAAACAAGAGTTCTCCAGCTAATAAGCTGTCTGAAAAAAATAATCAAACCCTGTAGAAATAATACCTTTACCCCTTAGGAATTACTTTCTTAGAGACAAGGTCTCACTATGTATGTAGCCTGGAACTTGCTACGTAGACAAGGCTTGCTTCAAACTCAGAGATCTGATTCCCTCTGCCTCCCTCTGCCTCCCAAATGCTGGAATCAAAGGTGTGTGCTACAATCCAGGTGGTGGTGGTGCTTGCCTTTAATCCAAGCTCTGGGGAGGCAGAGACAGGCCTCTGTAAGTTCAAGGCCAGCCTGGTCTACTGAGCAAGTTCCAGGACAGGGTCCAAAGTTACAAAAACAAAACACATACACACACACACACACACAAAGACAAAAACAAAGGTGTACAAATCACAACCCATCCCAGAAATGCTTTTCTATAAAAGGGACTGAGGATTGAATCCAGAACTTTGAACATGCTAACAAAGACTTTGACCACGAAGTTACACGACTTAATTGAATGTTGACCTTTCTTCCTCTTATGGCTCCCTCCCTCCCTCCCTCTCATGCTCTGTCTCCCTCTCTCTCTCTCTCTCTCTCTCTCTCTCTCTCTCTCTCTCTCTCTCTCTCTCTCTCTCTCTCTCTCTCTCTCTCTGAATTTCTTGCTTGGTGCTCAATGATTGTCTCTGCTGGCAGAGCTACGAGATTAAGCTCTTCTGGGATTCTCTATCTCAGGACCCAAAGCTGTCACTGATCTAGATCCTGGTCTCCTGAGTGGCCTTTTACTTGCAGCACAGGCTAAGATTCCAGAACAATGAGTGAAAGCAGAGAGCTGGGACAGATCCCAGCCAGAAAGGCCATCTGGTCCCAGGCTGCTGCGGTCTCCAGCCCCTCCTCTCCCTACTGAGCAGCCGCCTCCCCAGC